AAGTTAAGTCATGATTTTAAGTCATACCATATTTTAAATAAATATATCAGTAAAAACATTGGAATTAATATGATCTCACGGATAAAAAAAATAAAATATCAGCTTAGAGAAAAGTCCAATAAGGGATCATATGGAAAATTATTAGAATAGTTTGAATTGACAAAGCTTTTGATTACTACAAAAATGTTCATTGTTGATATTATAAGATAGCACTGAAATCATAATTGCTTTATTTCATTTTTCTAAATATCCAGCTTTGATTAAGTTTGGACTAAGTTGGGAATAGAAATTAATTCATTTTTTCATGAGCAAGTTTTTCATTTATAGTATTTTTATTTTATTTAATGATCAATACTTACCAATATTAACCATTTGTTAACATTTTATAGCTGGAAATGTTCTGGCATAACAAAAATGCCTTATTCTATACAGTTGTGTAGTGTAATCTTCAGAAAAAAATATTATGTCACAAATTTTTTCTGAGGGACAAAAGTTACAAGATAGTTGTGCTTTTCGAACATTAACCCTAAATGTTATATAATTTCCAAAAGCAATTTAATTTAAAATAAAAGACACGATAGCAAAATTTTCAAATTCCAGAAGAGAAATCCACTATTTACCAATAACAGTGATAAAAATAAAGAATACAAAAAATTCTTTAGTGCAAACAACTGTAAAATTACAAAATAAGTTTTATTAGATGCACTTTGATCATAAAATTCAGTTTTTATTAATATCATAATATAGATAATAAATAGTCAGGATGCAGTCATTTTTAAGGTTTTTATTGATGCTGACACTCCAACCCAAGCATGTGGGTCATCATCAGGGCGTGTTTTGAGCACATGTTTCTCCTGATGATGACCCACATGCTTGGGTTGGAGTGTCAGCATCAATAAAAACCTTAAAAATGACTGTATCCTGACTATTTATCATCTACGATATGCAGAACAAACAACTAACTTCCTTCAATAATATCATAATAGTTTAGTTTGTCTTGTATTGGTGCTGATAGATGGGTTTTTGAGATTTTAAGACAAGGGTGACCTACATAATTGTCTTAAAATAAGAAAAATCACTGAAACATTGGAACTTTTTAAAAATGTAAATTCTTAAGTAATGCATAATTACAATAATTGCCAAATTATAATGATTTAAAACTTTTTCAAACATATTTTATTTTATATCTATATTCTATCTATCTACTCGTTAATACTATTTCAATTACTTTTATTTGGTCTGTTTTTAATGTAAATTTTAAATAAATAAAAGGAAATTAAAAACAAATAAAAACAGTTTAATAAGAAATACAATTGCTAAATTAATCATAAACATATTGTGATAAGTGTAAAAAAAAAAAATGTAATGATCATAAGCATTAAAAGGTTTTTAAAAAAATCTAAATCCAAGAGCTAATTTTAAAATCAAGAACTGCTACTAACAGTAAATTATTATCAGGTAATTCGATATATCATCAAGTAAGGAAGAGTGATACCTACAAAACTAATGATTTAGGTACCTGGTTACAGAATTTATTCACAAAAATAAAGCTAGGACTATGGTAGCTACTGAACCAAATTATGCTTCCTTGGCCAATATTTCAGTATGACAATGAATATGCTGTCAGTTAATCAAAATTCATGAAGCAATATAAAACTAAATCTTTTCACCAAGACATTAAGATTTGATTACTTGAGAGTATTCTTGATTTTATAAATAAAATAATTTAGACTCAACTAAATACATTATATTTATAAAAAACATTAAAAAAATTAATAAGGAGTTAGTTTTGGGGCAGGATTATTTTTCTTAATGCAAATTGATACTTATTGTTTTGACAATGAAACATTTTTAAGACCAAAGGCTTTTCAAAAAAAGATTTCAGCGCACCGATTAAATAAAACCTGTTTGGCTATTTATTCCAGAAGATATTTAATGCTAATTGCCACAAAATAAAGTTATAAAAAAAGATCAAACACATATCCTAATCAAATGAATATTTAAAATCATGTGATAGTCATTTTACTTATTTTTTTAACAAACATAAAACCGTAAGAGTGGTTATAAAAAAAACCATTTCAGTCAAAGTTAAATTAAATATACTTTGATATTAAATTATTAATAACATTTAATTTAATTTAATTAAGCACTTTATTATTCAGGTAAAATAAAAACTATGCAGAGAATGTTATTATTCCAAATTTAAAATAAGATTAACTATTGGAGTAATCTAATTGGATTAGTAAAACAATTGGAACAGAAAATACTGAATATTAAAACCTTATCTTTTTTAAGTAAAATAATTTACATTAATCATTTCAAGCCATTATATATATATATATATATATATATATATATATATATATATATATATATATTTTTTTTTTTTTTTTAGATAGTTGGTGGTTGAGCAAATTTCATTTATACATACCCATTTACATATCGATTGAGAAATCAAAATTTCAACATTATATAATCAAACAGATAAAATTTGTTTATAAACTAACTTTTCATTTAGAATTTTTCTTCAAATACTGAAAATATAGTATTAATTATGAAGCTCAAAAATATTCAGTCCATAAGATAAAAGTAAATTATATAAAATTCAATATTAATAATAAATTAAATAAGTAATGTTTAAAAATAAATAAAAATATAACTAATGAAAATTCAATGATTGAAAAAAAAAATGATTATTTAAAAATTTGTATTCTTATTCTATTAGTCTTATTTTGAATAATGTAATCTTGAAAATATATATTTTTATCATAACAACATTCCTAGCTCATAGATTTAAAAGAGTAAAAAAATATTAGTGCAGATACACACACACACATATACATGTATAAAATAACTAATATAGTTCATAGTTATCCTTTATGAAAAAATCAGAACAAAAAGTGAAACGGTTATTATGAAATGGTTAAATAGAGTTATTTATTAGAAGGCTGTGCAATTAAAATGCAAGAGGTACCAAATTATTAAGATAAAATAATGTTTGTAAACTTTCAATAAATTACTATAAACTTTTCAACAAATGTGTGTGTGTGTATAATATATATATATATATATATATATATATTATATATATATATATATATATATATATATATATATATATATATATATACACACATGTATAGATATTTATAAATATATCCCACAACTTCTTTTTACAATGTATAATTAAATATAAATCAACTAGAATATTTCATAACAAATAATTTACAAAATTAACAATAAAAATGTTTGAGTATTATAGCAAAATCTTATAATATCATTAATGTAAATAGGAAGTTTTGTACTTCATAACCGAAATTTGCTAATACTTTTTTTGCAAATCAGAAAGAAAAATAATATTTTTCTGGAAAAATGTAAGAATAATTAAATAAAGCTAATGGGAAATATTAGCATGCAAAATTATTGTTTGAATGTTAATTGTATAAAAATATTAACACATCATAATACAGAAATTATAAAACTATTGCCAATTGCTATGGTTAATATGTATTAGTGACTGAAATAATTAAATATGTTTTAATTCTAAAAGAAATGAAAATGACAAAAAATATCTATGAATAAAACTTTGAAGTTGGAAGACTTTACTGAGGGGGTTTCAAACATTTTATAAATTATTTTAACATAACAGTAATGAAGTTTACAGAAATCTAGGACCTGATTCCTATGTCATGAAGTGCTGTCTATGTATTTTCCAGCAAAGTTCCTTGAAACTTTTTAAATATTGATTCCTAAATGTTTCAGTAAACTCACCATTAAATTCAAGACTCAATTTTTTATCAGCATCCATAAATGGATTCTCTTTATAATGTAATGATACATCTTTATCCGACAAAATTAAATTGTTATTGTTGTCACTGTTTCAGCAAATAGTCATGAATATTCTTATTTTATATGTATTCAGTAACAACTAGATTCTACAGTTCATTGTACTTTTTTTTTTTAATCTTGTTTATTAAGAAATATTGTAGTCTATCTAAATTAATGACATTTACAATAGTGTTCAGTGAGCATATTTAGTATGTTTAAAAATAAAGTTTCTTTCAACACACATTAACCATAACATTGGACAAAAGAAAAAAATCATAGTGTTCAGTGAGCACATTCACACTCTATATACAATAAATAAAAATAAATTAAACAGCAAAATAATATAGATTATACATTAAAGAACTTCATGATTTGAAATTTAATTAAGTTTGTAAACATAAAAAGAAGTTACCTCAGCTAAAAGCTTAGTTCAAAATTAAATAAGCAGAAAGTCATTCATTACTTTAATTGAGATATAATGCCTTAACAGATTGGTAACGTAAATTTTAGTATGTTTAAAAATAAAGTTTCTTTCAACACACATTAACCATAACATTGGACAAAAGAAAAAAAATCATTAAATAACTTTTCATATCAGTCATAAATACTAATTACAAACAACATAACTCATAACTCATAACACTCAACATTTATAGCAACAGCTCTATAAACTATAATGACAAAATATGATGTGAAAATATTTGAATAATTATACAGCCTAATAACAATTACAAATGGAATTTAAATATAATTACAAAATTAATGGAATAAATATATTTTACTGTAGCTCATTGGCGTCAATAAATTTTTTATGTCGATTGAAACTATATATACACAAAGATATAAAAATAAACTGAAAAAAGAAATATTTTTAAAAGAACTAAAATACAAAAAACTTGTAAACTATTGACGAATATTTTAGAAAGTAATAAACAAGGAGGACAGGCCAAAAGTAAAATAAGTAGATAAACTATAAACCATGGACGTTTAATGCAATATGAATGGTTTCATAAATTAAAACAAATAATTAAAATTAAGGAACAATGAATAGTTATAAAAATTTACATAAATAAATTCTGACTTTTTTAATGTTTATTTTTAATTTTTTTATATATTTTTCATTTTTTATTGGATTTTTCAATTTTATATCAGGTTAGAAATAAGAAAACTATCTAAAAGCTTTCAGATTTGACGAGTGAAGCTGAACCTTCAGCAACATCATTATAATATTCGCCGTGATGTGTTGTGGATGCACGTGGGGGATCACTCACCTGACTGTTGGATACGGAGTCTGGTATGGGAAGTGGTTTAGCCACAGCAATGCGAACAATGCCCTTTGGAGCTCCTTTTAAAGCCTGGACTGCTTGATCTAATGATGCATTATCAAGAGCCACTGAATTAACGGACAGAAGACGATCACCAGGTATTAAACGTCCATCTAGTTGAGCAACACCACCGGGAACCAGAGAACGAATCACTATCACTGTCTCACTAGGGTTCATTGGATCCTAAAAATAAATAACATTGTAGCAGCACACTCTATAAACTAAACAAAATAGATTTAAGGCAAATGGAAGAGTTAATAATCAAAAGTAATAATATTTCTCACAGATATATCATGTAATTCAAAATACATTAAATAGACTCAATGAAATTCTAATTAAAATAAATCTGTCATTGTATTTATTGTTAATTTAATTGATTTGAAATGTACCTAAATAATGAGAAATAATAAATTGTGTTATGATTATTTAATCAAATAAATACTAAATTATTAGTTATTGAGATTATCTTCCTTTGGAGACCAGACAAGATGAATAATAAAACAACCAAATTATGGTGATGCTATATTTAATTTTCCAACATTTCAGCCAAAGAATGCAGGTCGTCAGCATCAACCAATTTTCAATCAATTATAAAACAACCAAGATTGAACAAAAATGAGACAAAATAAATTAAGATGCATGCAAATTTTTAATCTTGATTAATGGAATTTTTGGACAGATGTGGTTTTTATTTTTTGTTCATAATTGTTATTCTTACGGGACCTTGTCCCAGAATAAAGTTTATTTTCTATTTTTAAATAATAACAAGTGTATTATACAGGAACACAATGGGGGAAAATAATATTCGAAAATACAGATACAGGAAAATAATTACAAAATATTTTATTTATTTTTAATATCATCATCATATCATTCTCATTTCTATACCCAATACTCCTTATTATTTCTATTTCTATTTACTTTTTCTTATCTTTGTTATAACAAAAATGAAAGTTTATATCATTTGAAATATTATGATTAAATAAAATTCTTTAATTTGTTTTATTAATCTTCTTGATTGAACCATGATTAAAAAATTCTCTTGATTGTTATATCCTACTCAATGATCACTTGATGTTTATAATCAAAGGATTAAGAACAATAGCTATAATTTCGAACACTATGCCAACTATGCATTTAAATGTTACTCATAAAAATATAATAAAAGGTAATAAAATACTTTTGGATAAGGAAAATTCTACAGATTCATGTAAATTAAATTAAATATTTAAAAAAATCATTCATTATTGATTGTATATTGAGGTTTATTTTCATACCAAAAGAACCTAAAACTACACACATGTTTTATCAGCTTTGAATGTAATGAATATTAGTCACTTATTGTATAACCTAAATATTATTACAATGCTCTTTTGGGTAGTTTATAAACTTTAGTAGAAGATCAGTTTAATTTTTGCTGTCTTAAACAATATGAAAAGTAAAAAATAGTATAATATAACATAATTTAAATAACAATTAAAACACTTATTTTTGGCATTATTATAATAATAATTTCAATTAATTATTTGTATCAATGGATTACTGTTTTCACAAATAATGTCTGATTTTTATCAGCAATTGGATATTTTATATTAATTTTTTTGAAAATTAATTTTTTCCTACACCTAAGTAAACTTATTAAAAGAAAACAAAGGCAGCTTTAGTTGGACCTCTAGCAGATTTCATAATGCATTCAAGTAATAAATGGCTATTGTGATCTATTTCCAACTATTTTGAATAAGTTTCCCTCATAAATACTTTGATCATTCAGTCGTAACTAAAAATCCTTAAAAAGTAAAACTGAAATTAAATATTAAAATGAAATATCAAGCTAAAAAAATTCTAAAATCTATTTATAAAGCTTAATTCATGAGTTAAATAATCAAAAATTGAAATGAAAGTAATTTTAACCACCTTCCATTAAAATATTTTATATTGGAGGATTATGAAATCAAGTTACTTCATTTCATGTTGTTTTGTATCAAAAAGCATAAATACTAAAGAAAATACTTAACTACTGTTCAGTAAAATAATGATCAATAAAGTTTCTCATAATAGCACCGATTATAAAACAACTATACTAAAATAATAGTCATTTGAAAAAGTTTATAACAGCTCATATTATAAGTTATAACTTATTTTATAAGCTACAAACTTATAGATTTTTGTAATAAGTTTAAGTTATTATCTATTAAATAATAAATTTTATGGCATTAAATATTCTGGTTCACAAAAACTTTACTTATACTACAAAAATATTAAAGTATTAAAGTTTTCGAAAATAAAGAATTGTGTACAATCATCTCAGACATAAACAACATACATATCAGACCGAAGATGGATTAGTCAACCAGATTTAGGAAGATACACAATACTGAATAGCACAAACTATACTTGATTAATATAATTGAGATGATTATTTTGAGGCGATTAAAATGGGCATGAAAATTACTGGGCTTAATCATGAAACAATTCCTAAAAAGAAAATATATATATATATATATATATATATATATATATAATAAATAAATAAATAATAGCTCCTCTGTAATTTCCCCAAAAAGGAAAATCCCAAGAGATCCCCTCCCCTTTTTGGGATTTTTCTTATATATTGATCTGCATTTATTTTTATGGTATTTTTCTCAGTAAATTAAATGAACAAGTTATGTAATTACTGTATGTTGTAATTTGAATACATTTATAATTTTTGAATACATAATTCAAAATGCTTTAATTATTCTTTAGGAGTGAAAATAAATTTCACAGCCATTTTGCATAGATCTCGAAAGAAAAAAAAAATTGTTTACTAGAAAACTGAGAATGGGACAATATGTGGTAATGACATTTTAGTAGCTTAAGTAATTATAAAATCACACTATTCTTTAATATTTTAATTTTTAATATTTCATTATGAAGAAATACTTCTTCACCGTATAGCAGTGGGAGAAAAAATCAAGTTAGATCTAATCACATAAAAGTTGAAATGGACTAAAACTTGCCCCTAAAATGAGAATCACACCCATATAGAAAAAAGGTTAGCTTGCCAATCCATACTAGACTTTATTTTAAAATCAGTGTTTAATTTTAGTATAAATAATAATAGTTTGTCTGAGTGTTTTGATCTGATTGTCAGTAATCCATACCTGAGATAGAATAATTGTAAATTTCAGTTTATTATATTAATATTCTTATAATTTTGTTTATTATTTAACAACCTCTGGAATCCTCTCCATTATTAATTATATATATATATATATATATATATATATATATATATATATATATATATATATATATATACATAATAATAATAATAATGATTAGCGACCTGCCCATGCCCAGTTGATGTCTACTTTCATCCATCCACCAGGCACCGTCTGAATCCAACCCTGCCAGATTAGCCTTAACACAATCTTCCCATATATTTCATAGATTTCAACAATGACAAACTCTACTTTCAAATTTTGTCTAGTTTACAGTGGAGCAATTGTTAATTACATAAATTAAATATTGTTTTAGTTACCGCTTTCTATTCAACAAAAAACGTGACTTACATAAAAAAAGACAAATCTTGAATTTTTAGCAATTCTGCGGAAAATTGGCCCATTGTTTATATCCAGTTTTTTGTAGCTCTCGAGGTCTGCTTTAAATATTTTCCTCTACTTATAGGACATCCTATATATACCTATGTGTATGTGTTTGTGTGTGTGTGTGTGTGTGTGTGTGTGTGTGTGTGTGTGTGTGTGTGTGTGTGTACGTATGAAGGTATCAGAGATCTAGAAACATTAATGAGGAAAAAGATATTGAAATTCTTGAGTCACATGAAGAGAATGAGTAAAGATAGGATAAACAAACAGATATTGGACTAACAAGGAGAGGTTCTGGACGTGAAGTCACTGATTTCAATGAAGCTTTTATTGGTGATACTAGATCGAAAAATATTTGACCCATCTCCGAGGGTTCTTGCCAATGTACCCTAGGAGCCGAGAAAAAATGTATTTTATTATGTTACTGTTTTCTGACTTTGCTCTGTGTGGACTGATAAGTTATTATTTATCAATCGATTTTTTTTTTGTTGTGCAAAATAAGAAAAACATATTGCTGATTGTATTAAACAAATTATAAGGTATGAATTACAAATACCCATTGACGCTTCTAGTAAAGTAGAGCAAGTAAATTATTGTCATGAAAAAACTATTCAGATTTATTTTTAGTGTCCACTAAAACTATTAAATACGAGTTTGTGTTAAAATAAAAAAATATAAATTTTATGGGAGAATTTTTTTTCATGCCGTTTACTAAAATATTCATAACTCCTCAGGTTTTTCTCATAAATCAACGTTACTACAACCGTTGGAAAGCTAAATTATTGCTCTTCAAAACTGTATCGATAACTTTTAAATTTCACGCCTTTATAAGAAAGAAAGAAATAAAACTCTCCAAAGGTTTTTATTTTTATCTCCAAGAGTAATTTATTTGCAGGATTCTGGTTTGTAACATTTTTTGTGAATTAAAGGCCCCCAAAATCATGCTAATTTTCGTGTGGATAAGTGGAGCCATGTCGAAGTTATCACAACTTTAGTTCTTTAAAAAAAAAAATTAAGGCCTGGGCGAAAATTTTGAGCAAACAATTTTTCAATTGCTATGAAAAGTCGAATTTAATGGTTTTTCGAGGTGCGACATATAAATCTCAACTTAGTTTCTCCTTAAAAAAATATTTGAACCCATTTTACTCCTTAGATCAGTTCTATTTGTTTCAATATTGAACACATATGATATCTGTATGCCAAGTATGTATTTTTTTTCTTAAACAGACAGGTATTAAAAATAATATATATGCACAAAATATAGTATTTTATCGAGATGCAATCCAAGAATAAAAATAAATAATGTGTTATACATATTATACACATATTACACCATGAAATATATTTTCAATCATCACCAAAAATCTTCTAAAAGACCGCAACACCCAACATAAATATTCTGTATCATCTCGTAATTTTACCGCCTCCAAATTATCTGAACATTCTCTCTCCCTTTATCATACATTTAATTTCGACAAAACTTCCATGCTTGCCTCAGTTCTCAACCATGTCAAACGACTTATTTCTGAAACCCTACTCATCCAGCTCCAACCAAAGACAGTGAATCTAAAAACAGACAAACAAAACTTATCCTTAGCCTATTCCCAAATTCTGAATTTATTAAAACAACCATAGCTATATTCTTTTCCTTTTCGCTGACAACTTATATATATATATATATATATATATATATATATATATATATATATATATATATATATGATATGTATTAATTTCTATTATTCTCCATTATTACTTAACAGTTATTATCTCTGTTTTATTCCTCCTCCAGATTTTTCCATCCTCTTTCTATTAAACTTTCGTTTATTTATTCATAATATTTATGAGTAATATATCTCTTGTCCATTATTTACGCTTCCGGTACTTTAGTTCAAACTTTGTCAGACAACCGTTAGAGATGACACCACTATATATCTCCTCTCTCCCCCCTCCCTTGCTTCCATATTCTCACTTCTCCAACAACCTTCTTGGGAGCAGGTTTGTTTTTTCTCTTTCTTATTTCAGCCTTCTCGGTTTTTTCCTCCTTCCTTTCATTCCTTTTCTCTGTTTTAACTCTTTATTATATTATACGTTGTCTATATATTTTGATAGACTTTACAATATCTCAATTTCCTATATAACTATTCTATTTGCAATATCTTAATTTTACCATTTATTTTCATTTCTTATAAAACTTCATATTCCTTTTTTTCTGTTTTACATTTTATTCTAAGATTCCCATTTTATTACTTATGTCACATTTTTTGATTATGTTTACTTCATCATTCCACACTTTGTAACGGTTACTATTATTTATCTCTTAGTTCTGACTATTCATTATTCTACCAACTGCATTTTACTTTAATTTTTCTTTTACCTACACTACTTATGTTTTTCATACCTTGTTATCTGGTTCTTTTTTTAGCCCTGATTAAGGCCTGAACTTCAGGTTGAAACGTTGGCAAATGTCAAAATAAATATTATCATTTATTTTTGCCTTCTTATTTCTGACTGATCACCCCAACTATTCTTCTCTTCATTATTCACGACAGTCAACCATTTACCCACATTAATATTATTATATATTATATTATTATTTAAATATTAAGGAAATTTTCATTGCAATCGATAAATAAATGTCTTTTGATTAACTAATATCTACTATAAATCTATATACATAGATGGATCTCATAAGAGCTATTAATATAAGGCAGAATATAGAGAAAAAAATTTATATTTTTCAATTGCAATCAAAATTCATATTTAAGGGTTTTATGGTGTGCGAAAAATGAATATTATCTTTTTTTATCTCAAAAAAATATATTTTATGGTGTAATATGTGTATAATATGTACAATACATGCTTTATTCTTATTTTCAGGGTTGAATCTCAATAAAATACTATATTTTGTGCATATATATTACTTTTGATACCCGTTTGGTTAAAAAATATATATATTTGGCATACAGATATAGTATGTGTTCAATATTAAAATAAATAGAGTTGATCTAAGGAGCAAAGTGGGTTCAAATATATTTTTAAGGAGAAATGAAATTGAGATTTGTATTTAGTAGCTCAAAAAAACCCTTAAACACGAATTTTCATACCAATCGAAAAAGAAAAATTGTTTGCTCAAAATGTTTGCCTAGGCCTTAATTTTCAATACAAACCTGTATTAAATTGTTTTAGAGGACCCTAAAATCGAATCTGAATAGTTTTTTCATGATATATATATATATATATATACTAAATATATATATATATACTAAATATATATATATATATATATATATATATATATATATATACATATAATATAATCAACTTATAAACCAGTTCTTGAACCCTGTACTAGTTCAAAATTATGCAAAAGAAGCATATATAGTAGTATATGAACTAATCCTTAGGTAATATTTTAACTAATTTTCAGAAAAAGCATAGTAGGTTGAAGTAATAGGTAGATAATCTAAAACAGTTTGTTTTCTTATCATCTCAGTAAAAAAATGGTATAAGTGTGTGTAATGTATATTCATTTTTTTAGGTTATTATCAAAATAAAGTTTGGAGTTCTTTTCAAGCAGTAAATAACTGACACTGAACTGTACATACAGTTCAGCATACAGAGTTCGCCAACATTAAATCGTTTAGAAGCCATTACTATCTCAGTTTGGTTGATCTGTTTTAAGCTGTTGAAATGAGATGTGCAATACTTTGTCTCAATTAATGTTATTTTGAGGTTTTTAGTCCTCATGATAACTGTATAAATGAAGCATCTACTGTTTAATAATTAGTGCTATACAAGAGATACAAATCTTTTAACAATAAACTAATTACAGTTTTTATTTGTTTATCTTCTAAATTATTTAATTTGTTGATAGGTCTTTGCCTCTGGATGTGGTATGTTCCACAGACATTTACTGCTATTGAAAGCAAAGAAAGCCTTGAGAGGACCAGAGGACCAGGATATTACTCTGGTTTCAATTTTCCAGCAACAAGCTATCCATAGCTCAATAATATGTCCCTTCTTCAGTTCCTGATTTGCAGTGCCCTCCCCACTGATGTACATTCACTAAGTAACTAATTTAGAGAGACTACAAAATTAATAACCTCATTTTTACAGACACCAAAATGCTTAACACTTAGGAAGATCAAGATATAGAATTACTATATTTCAATCAACCTAATAATAACAACTATTGAGAATATTAGGGATTCTTGAGATGTGAAAATTAACTTGACCACTTAAAATATTTTAATTTCAAGATTTTTCGGATGTAAGGCCATTATGAAAATAAAAAAAGTTTAGGTGGTGAAGTTACTTTGATATTAAGTTAGTTTGATATTCCAGTATCAAGAATATCTAATAAATTATGATCCTTCACCTTAAACACAAATAAACTACAATTCAGGACATGTTATTTTGAGAATAAGTTCAGAGTTTACAGCTTGAAACAGATGACAATAACATAATGATAATTTTTATTTAACTGGATAGAGCGACAGAATATTGCAGACATTATGGGTCTAAAAACTAAACAAAAAAAAACTACCTACAATATATAAGAAACAGATTGACAATGAAAAATAGGCCATAAAAGGCGAACATAACAACAAGGATGAACACATTTTGCCTTTTGCCTTGATATATAACTCTCCATTACAGAAACTATCCTAGTTGGATCAGATAAATCAATCATTATTAAAAATAAAAATACAATACGAAATTAGACCTTTTAATAAAAAATGAAATAAAAACATAACAGGGAGCTCTACGGCATATCTGTTGATACAAACATGATTGTCATCATAATATTGTGAATATAGTAATGTTCACTGTAATATTTAAAAAAATACAAGGTTAACCAACTTCTAAATTGATGATTCATAAAACAAAGCCCTTTAGCCATAAATGTTTATTTACCAAGGACTAATTTAATTTGTTTTTACAGTAATATGAACAGATTTTTGAAATAATTAGAAAAATATGTTTAAATTATTAACAAAAAAATTAAAGAGGTTCAAACAGACAGTGGATGATAAATGAAAAATATTTATAAGATAGTTTCAATAGAAATATGTTTTATTGTTTCCTAAATCCAGATACATTAACGGTGTCGCAGTACCTTTTTGGATTAATATTTTAACAAAACATACAATTCTGTATAATAATGAGACAACCACATGAAAATTTCAATATGCAGATGTATTAAAGATTTTAAAGGTAAAATAAATTACTGAAATAATTCAACAATGATAGAAATTTTTCATAATTTAAAATTTATTCAACAATGTTAATGAGTTAGAACAGTTCATTAACTATAATAGAAAAAAAAATTTTAAAAAAAGAGAGAGAAAAGGAACTACCATAATAAACATGATGCATTCTACGGAGTACAAGAGATATATCATTTTCCTGTTTAACAAAAAAATCCATCCAAAAGAACTATTAATAATTCAATAAAAATAACAAAAAAAAAAAAAATGAAATTTACAATTGAATATTTAAAAAAGATCATTAGATATTCATTATGGCTATTTTAATACAAAAAGTACTTTAAAATATTTTTATTGGTTTTATTTTTCTTTGAAAATTAAAATAGTGATAAATTAATAAATATTTTCAAAATATCTTGATAAGTACATTTGATTTATACTTAGTATTTCTTTGTATTATTCACTGTTCACAATCAATCAAAAACTAAATTATATTTACTTAGTGAAAAATTTTTTTTTACAGCCGAAACAATTACTATGTCGCCATTGTCTTTAAGTAGTAGAGGCAACAAAACAAATGAATACATTTCATGCATAAGATACTATTTTATATATATTGTGTGCATTTCAGCAAAGAAACATTGAATAATTCTATAATAGAAAATATAATTAATTAAATATATCCAAGGATATAATACAAAAATTGCAAATAAAAATGACAAACCTTTACATATAAATATATTTCAGGTTTAAGAAAATTTAACATAAAAAAGAATTAGTGTTTTTATGTGATGCTTTTCAGTAAATTATATTACAGACAATTTTAAAGAAATTTTTAAATTTTCAGTTTCGGACAGACTTTTAATAGCAATATTGCGTATGAACACTTTTCATAACTTACAGAAAATTTAGATTACAAAATAATTATGCTGTAAAACTTCAAAAATTCTAACATCAGAATCGAGAAACATTTGGAAAAATAAATGAAATTCAGATGAAAATAACTATATATTTTAGAAAGTCTATAGTAAAAACAATTATTGAAACAATGCTGAACAGCTGAACATTTAACATTTCATCCATTAAAAAATATATATTCTAACAACATAAACTTATAAACTTGATCGATAATGAATCTGATAAACATTAAACATAATATAAATGTTTAATTCTTGTTTTTATTAAGTCAAAAGACAAAATTAACATTTTAATAATAAAACAGACCCATACATGATGCAGCACATAACGCACAATAGATCCTTGAGGGTCAGGGTACGTTGTGTCAATTAAAAAAAAAAAAAAAAGTAAAAAAAAAAATTAATGGGAAA